TATATATATTTAATTATGAAAACTACATGTGATAAATGTGCTCATGCATACATAAAATTAAAGATATTTAGTTGATTTTAAAAAGACAAATTAGCTGAATTGTTGATACCAATCAATGACTTATACAGATTCTTGGTTACCACCAGCTGGGTCGACTTTACAGTAAGTTACTATCAGTATTTGTAATTGAGCAGGGACTTGTGGCACATGCCTATAATATCAGCATTTGGGACATGAGGGGATCAGGAATTCAAGGTCATCTTTTACTATATAGGGAGTTCTAGAGGAATGTGTGCTACATGTGGCTCTGTCAACAAATTTTATTGACTTAATGTATGACTTTTTACCCTAATAATTCCTTTAAAAGCTTAGATGGGTGTTTGTTTTAAACTTATCTTTGGAATTTTTATGGTTTCCTTTTTCAGCGCTAAGAAAATGTCCAATCAAACCCAACATGCTAAATAATATGCCATTTAATTACTATTAGTATTTACTTGAATTCCTGAGTATACTTTGAATTTGAGAAAAGGGCTCAAAGAAGAATAGTGTTTACAAATAGGACACAATGACAAGCTGTATCTTTAAGAGGTAATTCTATTTGGAAAATGTTCAGATGCACTTAGTTTTCTGAAAGAAAAATTAAAAGGAAAATAATATCTTCTTAATACTGACTATACAATTAGCAGAGCATAAAGACTTGCTATCTATGTTAGAAAATGTGGCAATAATCTATCACCAAACTAATACAGGAGAAATAAGCCTAGTGAAATGTTATAAATCACAATGATGGTTTAAGACATGTATTGATGAGGCAGATCTTTTGTGTAAGCTATGTATTTTATTATTTTTAAATAAATCACATGCTTCCAAAAAATCTTAAAATAATGAAGGTAGAACTTGAACTTTGTTTCTTTACATTTTAAAAAAGAATCACTGCCCTTATGTTTTGTGGTTGGTTAGGAGAAGCCAGCTATTAGAATCTGGATATTTCCTATTTATTTTATAGAATTTCCTACACTAAAATTTTCATTGATCACATTCAAATATAGATTCCCCCTTATCTTATTATCTAGTTTAACATAATGTATTGTGTCTGTTTTAGGTTATTCTTTTCTTTCTCTAACTCCTTGATAATGACAGTATATGAATTTCTCATGATCTGACACTGATATTCCTATGCTACTTCCTTCTCTTGATCACATGCCTCTGATGGTTCCCCCATTCCTTTGGTAAATGATGCTAAAGATAGTGGAAGGGGAAGGAGCATAGACTACTGGGCAAACAGGTCTAGATTCGGGTTCTGCTCCACACCCATTCCAAGCTGCCCTGCCAGAGAATCCTTGTTTATTTTTCTTTAATTTGGCCACAATATGCCTATCTTTTGATTTTATAAGTTTATTGAGAGCATTACACAAAAGCACAGTGTACACAAAGCATGTGCTCCACTCTAATAGTTCAACAAATACCTCCTGTTCTCCATTCTAGAATCCAAGTTAACAAGGTTTCCCACAGTCTAACTCTCTAGGTACATTTACCTCAACTCCCAGTCATCCTCTACTCCAGCACATCTGTTTATTTCCTCTTGATAATCCATTCCCATCTGCTTATTTTGCCTTTGGTCATATTATATTCGATGACTCAAATGATTTCCTCCCTTTTTCTACTGATTGAAAAACCTATCATTTCTATGAAAATCGGTATGACACTAGTGGTCTTTAGTTCAGACCATTCTGAACTGAATTGCCGAGATTCACTTTCTCTCTGTTGAATTTCTTTAGCAGTTGTTGGTTCTATGTCTGACTAAGGATGTATTGTATATTGTCTTGCATTATTTATTACATCTTTATTCTTCTCTTGTTACCTTAATAGAATTGTAAGCTTGGCGGGGCACTATATTGTATCATAAACATGCTGTTTCAGCAACTAAATATTGATTTGTATATTGTGGCCATAAAATAAATGTTGACTGTTTGATTAACTTTCTGTCATCTGGAAAATGGGAAGTCTTATACTACGCTGACCTTTAGTTATGAATATCGGGGTTAATCAGACTGACTTAGTGATAAAAGCTAGCTTTATGCTCTGAAAATTAGGTGGTATAGCAGCTCTGGTCATTGACAGTTGTGTGCTGTTTTAATACACTGTCTCTATAGACATACATTTATTATCCCTGAATTAGGATTTATATTATAAGTCTTATGATAAATGTTGACTACAAGTATATATGTGATGAATACAGCACAGCGGCTGGTATATAGTAGATAGATAATGAATGACAATAAGTAAAAGCCTGTGAAAATATTTCTAAATAGAATGGCAAATTTAGATTATTATAATTCTGCATCCAGAATTCATTTTTGTTTAAAGACTTATCATTTTTAATTGTGTGTATGTGTGTGTTTGTGTAGGAGTATGTGAAAGTAAGTGCAGGTGTTCTCAAAGGGTAGAGGCATCACATCCCCCTGGGGTTGGAGTTATGGGCAGTTCTGAACCATGGGACATAGTGCTGGGAACTCTACAAGAGCAGTATGTGTTCTTCGTTGCTGAGCCATCTCTCCAGTCCCTGTATGCCACTTAGATAGATAGTTCAGGGAAATCATATGTATCATATCCCAGAAATTAATAAGAGAAAATGGTTCACATTCGATTCAACATTATTATACCAAAACAAATATCTCCATATCTCCATTGCTGAATAACCAGATAATCCCAGTTGTTATTTTTATCCTTTTATAATTTTAATATATAAAAGTACACAGAAAAGGTGAAGTAAGTTTTTAACTATAAGTTAGAAAACCTGTTCTCCTGGTTCTACATTTCATCCTAGAGAAGATATTTAGACATTCTAAGACTTGAATTTTTTGATGAAATTAATGATATTTTATTCTGGGAAGAGGATGGTTTTGAGATTAAGATATATTACAAAGATTATGCAATATATTGGGTTATAAAATTTTAAAGCATTTAATGATTAATGGTAGATCCTTTTTAAAATTTAAGTCAGGTCATATAACTCATCTGCTCTGAACCCTGCAATCATGCCCTGTTCATACTGAATAGGATGTCTGTGCAGCCGACAGTGATCTGTCTTCCATTCATTCTTTGACCTCACCTCATACAGCTCCCTGCCTGCTGATAGCTCTTCAGTCACACTGGCATCCTTCCTGTTCTGTGAACACATCAGGAGACTCTGTGGGGATTTTTCTCTGGCTGTTCTCTCTTCTCAGGGGTATTCATTGATCTCACTTTCTCCATGGCACATACCTTGACCGAGCTAATATATTCTACAGCTTGGCCATCCATCAATCCTTGCTTTAGTCTCCTTTTAAGACAAATGTAAGCTGTCTATGGGGTCTAAGATTTCTGGCAAATTTTGTTGCTTGATTTACTGGTACATATATCGTAAACTTCTAGAATAGTGGTTCAAGTAAGCAACCAAGTATATCTTGAATGAGTTCTAATTTAATTAATTCAATCTAAGTTTTATTATTGAAGCTTTAAAAATATTAACTATAGAATTCATTTTATTTTAAAAAGAAAGGCAACAATTATGATCAAATTACCATATTGTCCTTTCATGATTGGCATTCATGTATTTCAAATTGGCACTTTGGTGAATCAGAGAAATTGTGTTACCAGTTACTCAAACTCCTAACTAGTGCTAGCTATGATTCTGCCATAAGCTTAATGTGTAATTTGGGTGAGTCCCTTGTCCCATCTCTAATTTACTCGTCTGTGAAACGGCAGAATGTGTTCTACTTATTTCCCCTTCCACATTGCAAGGATCTGTGTGGCCCACCTAACTTGAGATTCTTCTGAAGGCATAATATGGAATACTACTGGAAGGCATTAGTATTTTTAGGAATAGCAGAGATCATCTGTTCATGGAGACTGGCATCTTGAGGTGCTATTGTTTGAAAACACACCAAGAAAATACTAATGTGTCTTATACTGATAGTCTTATTTCTTTGTGAAACTAGCGACTCAAGGTAGAATTGCCTGAAAGTCATATTAACCAAGGACCTACATTCAAATTAACTAGCACTAGGAACTGAATGCTTTCCTTTTGTTTTCCTTTTGTTAGTCATGAGAGCTAAGAACTTGGGAAAACTGGTGGATCTTTACTCATCTTAGACATTTTTCAATTTGTTAACTGAATCAAAAGAGCAGCATTTCTCTTCAAGCAGTTTTATGGGGTAATTGAAAGAATTAATGTGTAGACAGGACTCCTATATTTATTGCAGCTAACATACACAATGTGCAGCGATGATAACTATTAGAAATGACAAAGCTTCACATTTAAATTATGGACTCAGTCTGCGACAT